AGGGTTTAGTTATGAGGGTTTAGGGAGTTTTAGGGGTCAAAACATTTTTTAGGGTTCAAAATTTTAAGATATATGCATTATAAATCTATAATTAGTAGTATTTTTGTAAATAGACACTTCTAAATGGTATTTTTGCAAATGTGCACACAAAAAGTGACATTTTTGTAATTGCTCCAAAATGTTAATAGAATCAACTATAACTTTTTGATATATACATATGATACCGTTTCCTCGAGAAAGACAATCGAAAAATATTCCACGAATTGTAAAACTTGGGAAAATATATTCCACAAATCATAAACTAAAAAAGAAAAGAAAAGTAAGTGCTTTATAATAGGAGGAAACAGAGATCCTTTCGCATATTGATCTGTTATCGTGTCTTCATCTCTTAGATGATTTGAATTCTGAGACAACTCGATAACCTCAAATCTGCCCTATCCACAGAAAGGACTTCACCCGGGTCATCTAAGGAAGATAGCCAGTAGATCTTTCCTCCTATACAAAAATATGGCGAAATTTTGTAGGAAGAAAGATTTATTGGCTTTTAATTCATTAGATGATTATGGTAAAATCCTTTATGTGGATGTGGAAGAGAGATTTGAAGTTACAGAGTTTTCTCTATATGTTTCATTCTTGATTGCTTTCTAATATTTCTAATCCGATGTGAATTCTTGAGTAAGGAAATGGCAGGTGAGGCTAGAAGGAAGGTGAAGAGTTCTTCGATTGGTGCTTCAGTTGCTGCAGAGTATTTTTCATTTTTTCGGTGAAAAATTTTCGTTTCAGATTTTGTAGTTTTTTTTTTTAAACTTTCTTTTTAAACTTTTGTTCATGCCCTTTTGATTTGTAAGACTTTAGTGATAAGATAAACTGATAATATTAAGCTACGTGTTCTTTGTGTCCGAACCAAAGTTTTTCTTGTTATAAAAGGAACCATTAATAATCTTCTTCTTGCTTTGAACTTTTGATTAATTCTTTCTTGTTGTTTTACGTTGTTTCATATGGTTTTTCAATGGGGATAGAAATTGTTGAATTCTACGGCGAAATTTTTATTTCATCTCAAAATGAAATGATTCCATACAAAGTGCATTATAAATCGTGGATAAAACAAGCATTCAATCACAATAAAAAAAAACGGTGGTAAAAAAAGTGTAGGCAGTGAAGAAGACGATGACAGAGGTAGTGGTTGTGAAAGTGACGATGCAATGAGAAGAAGAAAGGAATTTGGT